TAGCGGCAAGAAATACAGTGGAAGGTGTTATCATTGAAGGGGATTCGATGAATGTGATCAAATGGTGTAAGAAAATGCAACGCTTTCCTTGGAAATTTAAAGTCTTCGGGATTCAGATCTTTGAGCTGATGTCCTCTTTGACCATATCCTTCGCTCATGTGTATAGGGAGGCCAATGAATTGGCTGATTCCTTAGCTAAAAGGGGTGTTACTCTAGTCACGCCTGTGACTGCTAATGATGTCCTTGCTATTTTGTAATCTGGTTTAATATTAATAAATTTTGAACGTAGTAAAAAAAGACAAAAAAATTTATAATTAAGACAACTGGACATTAACCAACTAAAAAAGGGAAAAAAATAAGTAAAAGACAATGTTGTAAAAAACAACAAAAAACATGAATAGGAGAGTAAGCATGCAAGTAATGAAACTCAGTGTTGGAATAAGTGACTTGGGCTAGGTGCCTAGCCCAAGTCGCCACTGAGTACTTGGCTCGAGTCCAAGCAACTCGGCTTGAGTTGGGCCGACTTCTAGCCAAGACCAAAATGTTTTAAAAAATAAAAAATACTCAAAAATCCAAAAATTAGTTGAAGTAGAGTTAAACAAAACACACCTAATTGAGGTTAAAAAAGTATTGAAAAATGGACATTTAAAACATTCAATTTGTAATGGGGGTATTTTAAAAATAATCCAAAAAGAAAGAAAAATGTAAAAATAAATATTTATAGCCAAAATACTTTCAAATTGTCGCCAAAATGATGGAAAATATAAGCAACATACGAGAAAGCTTTCTACACTTCTCCTTCAGTATAGAAGTTATACATGTTCCCTCCCATCGAGTCGTCCAATTTAGATCAAGTGAGCACTAACCATTTGATCTAGATCCGATGCATCAAAATATTTTATTTTTAATTTGTTTTTGATAAATCATGTGAATATGAAATTTGGTATGTGTCATCATCTCAACAGGACGTACTAAAAATATTTTTGAAAAATAAAATAACCAAAACACCCATAAAATTTTAGGGGAATTTTATTTTATTGGGTTTTTTTTTTTGCAAGTGCGCGTTCAAGATAGGAGTGGATGCTCAAAATTTGGTGTCAAAATATTTTGTAAAAAAATAAAAATGAAACAGTGTAGAAGCGTAACATTGTGATTGAATACATCTTAGTTGTCCATTCACATCGGACAATTGGATATACAGTTTGGGAAGTATATAAAGCTTTCCCAAAACATTCTAATTCATTATTTTTGAAATTTTTATAATATGTTTTTGATTTTTTTAACATCCTTGAGTTGAACACTTAATTGGAGATCCTCGGGTTTCTAGGGCGGGTTACTCGGGCAAGTACGAGATGGCTAGCCCGAGTAATTAAACACTGCTGAAATTGACAAAATCTTCAATGCTATATTGGCTCTACCGATGGTGGGGTATTTATATTCAGAGTCTTGCTGAAAAAAAGTCCAGCATGTGGAAATATCAAATTGTATTTGCTTTTGTTGGAACTTCTTTATAATAGCAGCTGCTCTCGTCCGCCTGTTTTTGTTTTTTTTGTGTTTTTGGGAGTTGAGCTCTTCTTTTAAATTGTTTATTTCTTGATTTATGGGAAAAAGTCTATGATGATAATAATAATTTTTTTATTGGTGAAATATTTGGAGACGAGCTTCTCATTAATTAAATTAAAGGGTGCAGTTTGTATAGAGCCGAGCCTCTAAACAATTAGAGTAACGCGCACCTTCTAATATTGTTGAGAAATGTGGTTTCAATACTAAAAACATTTATGACAGTTTTAAAATATACTTTTATTTTTAATTATAAAATTTAAAAGCTTCAAAAATAATATAGATCGAACAGATCTATGAAAATTTAAAAATCTTGAAAATTGATTGTCCAATAATATGTAACAAGATGAACTATTTCCAAAAGTTGAAATCTATTTTTTTCTCATGTCCATGCATCTTGACATGGAGATGATCAATTTGAGGATATTTGAGCATCAAAACAACGTCTTCTAGAAAATTTTTTGATACGCACTCTAATTTGATTGTTTAGAACCTCGGCTCTATATAAACTTTTCATAATTATTAATGATAATCTTACTAACAAATTTCGATTGAATAGTCTTACAACGTACAACTATTCGTTTTTTATATTAGAAGTAAATATCACGGATGTTAAACGCTAAGCATTCACAAAATTAGAAAATATGTCCGTACATGTCATAACATGTTAGTCGCATGTGTTCCCGTAAGGAGCACACTATAATGCTTACTCGAGATCCACTTAAGGAGGATTTTTATATCCCACTTAGGAGGATTTTTATATCTCAAATTTTTGGGATACACTCTAACATCTGATCAGCGGCTAAAGCATTTTCCTCAAAAATAAGAAAAAAGTATTCTGAGATTTTGATCACATGGATATGATGGCTTCAAACTGGACACTTCGGACACTTGTTTTGAGGCACATACATGAAATTTTGTTCGTTTATCTTTTTTTTTTAAAAAATTACGTACGGACCATATTGGTGGGGATTAATTACAAAATGAAAACACGTTGTTCCCAAATTACAAGAGGCACCCCTTCCTTGAATTTATTTTTTCCAAATTACTTCTGTTTAATAAACCGAACACCGGACAAGTAGATTTATGCTTTTAAATGAAAAGAAGCTATTCGACGTTTGGAGTATAAATTTTTTAAGTTTAAAGTTTGCTGTCCAATTTTCAATAATCTGGGCGGTTTCTTCCTCTCTCTAAACATCCAAACTCCCCTTCGTTCCCCTCTTTTTCTCTTTCACCATCTCACTCTTCTCGAGAGAATTACCCAACATGCACTCTTACTCTCTCCTCTCTCTTCCCTCCTCATTCCCTTCATCCTTGGCTCCATCAGCTTTCCTCCCACAAGCAAAACCCAAGATGGAGTCACCCATCATGCTATCTTTTTCTCTCCTCTCCATCTATTTCTTATCTTTCTATCTTGTCTCTCTAACCTCTCCATTCACCGTCAACATATTGCATCGAATCCATGAAAACCTCTATAGCTAAATCTGGAGGTATGTTTGGTGGTTTCTTTTTACCTAATTCAACGTGGGGCTTTCCATCTTACAATGGTGCAACCATGTCTAAAGAAATTAGGTTTTCAGAGTGTCTAGAATCAATAGAGGGAGGGAAAGGGAGGTTAGCTGATCTGGTTCTAATGTGATGGAGCTTGAGTGATCAGGCCATTAATACAGACGAAGGGTAACTTTTTAGTCTGCATTTCAGGATCTTTTTTCTCCCCTTCTTTTTTCTTTGGTGCCCCATTTTTTTTTCTTGGAACTCTATTTTCATTTTCTGAAAACCCATTTTCAATTGCCCTTCTCTATTGGTGTTTTCAGGGGATGCCATTGGTGCTTATTTTGTAGAGAGAGAAAAAGGGATAGAGAATAGAGAGAGTAAGAGAGGGAGGGGCTAACGATGAGGTGCACTAAAATGAAGCAGGGAGAGATGATAGGATAGAGAATAGAGAGAGAGAGAGGGGAAGGGATAGAGAATAGAGAGAGAAAAGGGGGAGGGTCTAAGGATGATGATGCGAGGCTTTCATTGTTTAAAAGCAAAAAACCCACCTTTATGGTATTTGAATTATCGGAAAGGGGATAATGGAAAAAAAAAATGGGGGGAGGGGGCGCTGTCTGTAATTTAAGAACAACGTTTTTCCATTTTGTAATTGACTACTTCAATATAATCCGTACTGGGGAATTTTTATATCCCACACGCATATAAAGTATATGTGATCCCTACTCTTAGCGATCATATCTAACTAGAAGACTGGCTTGAGTCACAATTGTAGGGTTCTCGAGAAACCTTAGCTTACGGAATCGAGAATCCCAAATACCAGGATCCTACCCAAGGTCATGTACATGATTGGTTAAACGCAAAGTAAATGAATACAACTATAAATAGTGTACGAGAAATTAAAAAAAACATAAAAATCACACCACCACAACACACGAAGATTATATAAAAATTCACCTTGTAAAGCTACATCCACGGCCTCGACAACTAGAAATCCACTATCACATTGAAGATTACAGTTTGGGTTATAAGAGATAATACCTATATCTAAACATTGGTAAAATACCATCACCGATCTTCCCTTTTAAACCAGCTCTCCAGACCGAGTAACACCATTGATCAACATCATCTTTCCCACTGCAATACTGCTACAGGAAAAATATACTGCCTCCCACTCGGTGGCTATGTATCTCTCTTGGAGACCCATCTCCATATTATAGATCCATTCTCATAACCTCCAAATGGGTGACCCTCAAAAAATGGGTATTATGTCCTCCTTCACTCTTTTATAAAGATATCACTTTCCTGCTTTTCAAGAAAGTCAATTTTTTATTTCTCATAATGCCCTAATCTTTAAATAAAAATATGGGTATAGTGATTTAGCAATCACCAAACTCAACAACAATGTCATCAGTTGTCTCTCATGCGTCAGATCCAGTGTTCGCAAAGCCAGCCGATCTAACCGCTAAACGGCCAGTTAGATCGGAACCGGCCAGTGGCCGATTCCGATTTTGACCGGTTTTGGTGATCAACCAGTATTTTATACGCTCAATAGATTAATGCTTCCAATTTATATCAACTATCTTAGGTTGTTTTATTGGTTAGCATTAATGAGTACCTTTTACTTGAATCTATCCTGCCGTCAGCACGAATAAGCTGGTTAGGCCGGTTAAATCGCTTCCAGACCCATGTCTGGTTAATCGTTCTGGTTCAATTTTATGAATACTAGTCAGATCAAGTCAGGTCTTGACCCGATGACTTAGAGTGTTTTATTTTTAATCTTTATAATATAAATCATTTTGTGGAAAGACCCACTTGTCCTATAACTATTGTTTTAAAGGAAAGAAAAAAAATCTCCTTGTAGTTTGAATTTGACATATCAAGGCTTATAAAAAGAAGTCTTAGACTGACTTCAATCAAGCAATCCAAATAGGCAGGGCAGGGCAAGAGCAAAGGCCGGTTGTTGACTCAAGGTTCAGGGAGCGGGAAAGTGCTTCCCATCGCGTAGCGAACGAGCTATCTAACCTTAAGAGCTATTGTGCACAAAAATGGCTGGTTTTTGGGTATGGCTCCTTGTATTCGCAGCCATTCTTGCAGTGATCCAAATCCTGTTGAATAGGAAAGCTAGAAGTCTTAACTTGCCACCAGGCCCACGCCGGTTTCCGGTGATCGGGAACCTGCATCAACTCGGGAAGCGGCCCCATCAATCTCTAGCTCGCCTCTCACAACAGTATGGTCCACTCATGTTCATAAAGGTGGGTAGAGTCCCTACCATAGTGGTTTCCTCTGCAGAGATTGCTAAGGAGGTAATGAAAACCCAAGACATGGTCTTTGCAAATAGACCAGGTCTTTTTGCTGCCGAGAAACTCCTCTATGGTGGGACTGGTGTGATTTTTTCGCCCTATGGTGAGTACTGGAGACAGGTTCGGAAGATTTGCGCTCTCGAGCTGCTCAGTACAAAGAAGGTAAAGAGCTTCCAGTCAGTAAGAGAAGAGGAGGTGGCTTCCATGGTTAGTACCATCTCTTGTTTCTCTCATGGTGACCCTGTGAATTTGAGTAAGATGTTCTATACTTTGACTAACCGTATAAGTTGTAAAGTGGCTCTGGGCCATTCTGAAGGAGATCAAACTGAATACAGACTTCACAAGATTGTACAGGAATTGAATTCCTTATTGGGAAGCTTCTTTGCTGCTGATTTATTTCCATCAATGGGGTGGGTGGATGTCCTCACTGGAATTCGGGCCAGGGTCAAGAAGAACTTTCGAGAGCTGGACAGTTTCCTCGACGAAGTGATTCGAAACCACAGGGACAAAGGGGTTCTTGAGCCAACAACTGCAAACAAAGACTTCGTGGACATTTTACTGCAAGCTCAAAAGGATTACAGCCTGGATATTCCTCTCACATTGGATAACCTCAAAGCTATTATACTGGTCCTCTTCCACCCAAAAATTTGTTTTCCGTGCTATAAGAGCCTTGATCCGATAACTAACTCGGGTTCTCCTATTGTGCAGGATATGTTTGCGGCAGGAACAGAGACATCGGCAACAACTCTAGAATGGTTGATGTCAGAGCTTGTAAAGAACCCGGAAGCCATGAGGAAAGCTCAAGAGGAACTGCATCGAGTTATGGGGGTTAAAGGCAAGCTCAATGTCTCTGAAGATGAATTACCCGAGTTGGAATACCTTCACTCTGTAATCAAGGAGGTCCTTCGGTTGCATCCACCTGCGCCCCTCTTGGTTCCAAGAGAATCGAGGAACAGTACGAAGATCAACGAATTCGATATCCCTGCAAAAACGAGAGTCTATATCAATGCTTGGGCCATAGGAAGACATCCCGATTACTGGGATCGAGCAGAGGAGTTCTTGCCAGAGAGGTTTATGAGTAGTGCAATCGATTTTAAGGGGCAAACTTTCGAGTTCATACCATTTGGGGCAGGACGAAGGAGTTGCCCTGGATATTTATTTGCTATACACACTGTTGCGCTCACAGTGGCCAATCTGATCAACCATTTTGAGTGGGCGGTGCCCCCTGGTGGTCTAGACATGGCTGAATCTAATGGGATTGCACACAGGAAACATCCTCTTTTTCTTCTTGCTACTCCAAGGTGTATTTGATTTTGATGTAAATGTATTTGAATTTCAGGTTAGTGACATTTTCACGGGTCTTTCATATACATATATATAAAAAGAGCGTCACCTGGATCAAATGGACTCTCGATGGGTTTATTTTAATCAAAACTAAATCGAATTTTAAAAATATAAAAAAATATAAATAATATTTTAAACTATAATATATTAGTGGACTCGCTAAAACTGATCAAACAACGGTTTTGAACCAGTGTTAGAAAGCGCAACTTTGGGGACAAACTCGGCCTATGCCAGTGTTGATTTTGAGTTGCACAATAACAATGTGTTCCAGCCTTACCAAGACACATCTAGAAATGTTGATTTTGAGTTGCTCAATAACTGTGTTCCAAGAGATGGCAATACCAAATATGACGCCATATTATTTCGAGATCGAGATGATCAATTTAAATGGTTTTCCAATATCAAAACAACTATTTTTGGTGGATATTTGAAATGTGCCTTACTTCTATAGTACAAGGTTCACACCTCATATAAACTTACTCCAAAGAATACATATGTTTGAAGGGTGAATTCCCGTGAGGTGAAAACCTAACTAGCCATATTTTTTTGACCCCAAATTTCATGGGTGTGAACCCCTCGAGCTAGCAGCTAATGTCCCGGACATAAATGCATCTTTTTTGTGCTAGAAAAAACTTTTAGCATTTTGAAATTGAAAATATGACCTCCCATTTTTGGGCAGCCACATCAAGTGTTTAGAAAATCAAAATCAAAATCTAGTTTTCTAAAGGAGAATGTTTACATAAGGTTGACGCTTTAAGTTCTAGAATAAAGTGAACCTCAAAAGCACATCGAAAACTGCTTTTTTGATGTTGGAAAACCAGCTAAGTGATCAAGTTGACGTTGGAAGCATAGATATAGAAAAATAAAAGATTTTAAATCTTAAAAATAATACATCTTGTAATATAGTTTTTAGATTTTTTATTTTTAAGATTTTTATGTGCTTATAGATATACTTGATTTGGACTATTTTTTAGTTTAAATTTTTAAAAAAATTTATAAAGACCTTTAAAATTAAGTTTTTAGACATCCTAACCCACAATACTTTTAGTATCACATCCTAGACTCCAATACTGTATTTTTTGTCCACGCCGAAAAAGTCGCGTGATCATTTTCCAATAGCGGATCCATGATACCTATTTCATCAATCGAGCAGTTGGATCTGGCGGGGGAGAAAAGGAAGTGTGGAGAAGTTGGCATCACTGATGAATTTTACAAAACTTCAGTGGAGTTGGTGCCATTGTTGGAGGAGGAGCTGCTCCCGCTAGATTTGGAGGTGAAATCGGCAATCGGAATGAGAGAGAGAGTTTGGGTAACGCAGGAGGCAAATGCAATGAGAGAGAAAGAGTGACTTTTTTACATGGAAAATAAAACATAGCATATGAGACCCGCATGGGTTAGAGAGAGAAAGAGGGGACGTGTTTTAGTGAGAGAAGGATGAGAGAGAGGAAGAGGGGACATGTTTTAAAGACAAAGAAGGAGATAGATGGCGGGTAGAGAGAGAAAGGGCCTGGTAGAGAGAGGAGAGAGAATAAAAAAAACTGACATATAAAGGGAGAGAAAAAATGGCATTTTGGTGCCAATTTTGTTGTCTTCCTTACTGGGGGTGTAAATACAAAAAATAAACAGTGTTGGGGTTTAGGGTGGTATACTAAAAGTATTGGGGATAGAATGTCTAAAAAGTTGATTTTGAGATAATATTTATAACTTGCCCAAATTTTTATAGACGAAAATAGATTTTTGGACAATCGTAAAACTTTTTAACACTAAAATTGTATCTCATGACAGTTTTGAAGTGGGCCTTCTTTGATTGTTTAAAGTTGCAACTTTAAGAACTACACCCTTTTCTAAAACCACTCATCTTATTATTTTAAAGTGGATACCGAAATTTTAGATCTAAAATGTACTCCTATGTGGTTCTTTTTTTGCTCAAATTATATAGTGATCTCTTGCAAGATGTACACTTTTCTCTTTTTTTCATTTTTTCTTTTTTCTAATAAACTTGAAGCTCTTTTTTTTTTTCTAATAAACTTGAAGCTCTTTTATTTTTGAAGCCAAACAATGACTCTTCTATACCATCAATTGATGACGATATATTGTAGATGGTACAATGTGGATGAGACACTAATCTAATTCTCTTGTTTCAAACTAGGAGAGGACGTATTGATCAAAATATTATCAAGGGATTACCTATACATGAAATTGCAGAAAATATCTAGGCTCCAAAATACTATATGAAGTTCCAATTTATCTAAAAGTTTACATGGTCCCCTCACATAAGAATTTCAAATTCCTAATGAATACATTTGACGGAATTTCGAGGTTGCTCTAATAGGTGATAAAATGAGGGAAAGTAAACTTACGTGACTTCGTCATAATCAGTATTGACCTAGAATAACACCTATTAAGATGAGTGATTTGGTTCAAGTGGAAGACTCTAAAAAGACAAGAAAAAGTACCAAAGGACATCATGGAAACAATGATAACATATATGGTCATCTATAGTCTTATCAAGCATATGGGCATTAATAAAGTGGAATAGTGGAACATGTTTTCAATTATCCCAACTCATGGTCATGTATATTTTGATAGATATTTTGAAATTAAACCAAATAATATGGGTAAATTACTAAGTAATTGATATGTTACGTGTGTTTTGATAAATTTCTTTTCAAATACAGGTAAGACTAACTTGATAATTTGAACTATGTACTTTTGGTTGTGCATCACATGGGCAGCTCGCTGGTAAATGGCTGACTTGTAGCTTTCAATAAAAAGTTAAAAATAGCCAATAAGACAATAACAAATAGGGCAATGATTTCATGTTGTTGGGTTTATGTGACTTTTAAGTGTGTAATGAAAAACATTTATTATAGTGGAACATAAACTCAGTAGAAGTGTGGTCTCTCGAAAACCATATTAAGCACATGATATTTATAGATACCGGACTGTGCTTGACGATCTAGGTCAGTCGGTTGAAAAACCCAAGGTACCTGAGCATAAAAAATAAGCCGAGAAGGGTTTTTGGGTTAGCCCTTGATGATATCAGAGCTTATGCCTAGATGTGTGAGCTGAGGGATTGTATAACCCTTGTGTGTGATAGTAGGCCTACAGAGACGGGGGCCAAAACCTCATCCATGTTCGATCACACGACATGCATATAGATAGATCGGTCGGGAAAGCTAGATATCTACATTTGGGTAAAGCATATGCATGTGCGAGAGATACTCCTATGCGCCATAAAGCTGTGGTCGCATCAGGTCGTGGTGATCTTGATTTGTCTCTAGGGGAGGACCTGTAATCCACAGACTGAGATTGCGACTCCTTGGCTCATCGACCAGACTTTAGTGACCTGCTAATGAGTCCCTGCTTGGACTGTGGATCATGAGAAACACTTGGTCGGTTTGATAAAGCAAGTGTGGTATGTAGTCCACCGTTGAAGATGAAGTATCCCATGATCGTTGATTGAATTCCTGAACCATATGGATCCACTTCCCATCATATTAATTTAATTGTATTCATTTTATTATTAATTTATTTTAGATTTATTATTTGAATTTTTATAAGTCTTTTGATATTTTATTTCTTATTTTTTGACTAATAGAAATGGAGCTATTAATATACAAAGTTATAATGTTTTAAAATTTATTTTGTTCAATTTTAAAATATTTATTAAAAAAATACATGGGGGCCCATATTGTACTTGGGCCAACCATGTGGGTATTAGGTGGGGCCCCACATACCATACATGGGTGGCACGCCCCACCCTTGGATACCTTATTAAATGTGGTAACTATATTTTGTAGCATATGGTCAAATATTGATAAGGAAATATTGACCATATCTTATCTTGAAGGAATATCTTGACTTGATATTATTGAAATATTCTTATGGAAAATATGAGATGGAATATGCAGTTTATGGTATCCACTATATCTTTAATGGATTTAATTTATTAAATATATTGATAGAAAT